GAGCTACACGGCCAAGAAGTCCTACTGCCGGCGAGCCGTCGAACTGACGCGTAAGTATGTGTTTTTTCTCCCCCTGCAAGGAGGTCGGTGGGGATATGGCAGCAGCGATACGTGGGGTTGGAGGTGAGCTGATCTCCTGTTCTCCTCTCCCGCAGTGGGCAGCCTGGGTGTCAGCAGCGAGCTCCAGCAGAAGCTGCAGGACGTTGTCGTGGACAGAAATGCCCTCAGCCTGGGGAAGGTCCTGGGAGAGGGTGAGTGCTGGGGCTGCAGAGCTGGGGATGGACTCGTGGTCTCCATCTCAGAGCATTTTGGGTCTTCGAGGATGTAGCGGTGTCCCGGAAAGTGGTGCTGTGGATAAAGTGCTCGCCTCTTTCCTGCGGTGCAGGGGAGTTTGGGTCGGTGATGGAGGGGCGTCTCAGCCAGCCCGAGGGCACCCCGCAGAAGGTGGCTGTGAAGACCATGAAGCGTAAGTCATCACCCCGGCCTCGTGGAACTTGATGTCGCTTGTCCCAGTGGGTGCTGGTGTCCCTGCTACCTGTCTCAGGTGCTCTTTCTGTATCCCAGCACCATTTTGGGGGGGTGCTGGCCTCTCTGCTCACATCAGGCAGCCGAGGATGGCAGAGATGTCCTGGTGGTCCCTTCCCCTGACCCACGTGGGAGCTGTGCTCTGCAGGGAGATGGCAGCAGAGACTTGGGCTGTTAAAACGCTTGAGGTTTAAACCTCTTCTTTTTTTTCTCTCCTTCCCAGTGGATAACTTTTCCCAAAGGGAGATAGAAGAGTTCCTCAGTGAAGCAGCGTGCATGAAGGACTTTGACCATCCCAATGTCATCAAGCTCCTCGGTATGGGCGCTCGCTCCTCACGCTCCAGCTGGGAGAACCGGACCAGGGAGTGCTTGGGGGGGGTGTGTAGTGCCTTTGCCCACGGGGCTGAGCAACCTGGCTGTGTTTTCAGGTGTGTGCATCGAGCTGAGCTCCCAGCAGGTCCCCAAGCCCATGGTGATTCTCCCGTTCATGAAATACGGTGACCTGCACAGCTTCCTGCTTCGCTCCCGCCTGGAGATGGCCCCCCAGGTAACGGGCGTGGGGAGCAGAGGTCATCTCAGCTTCTCCTTGTACACCATCTCCTCCAGCCTCCTCTTAGTGCTCTCCTCTGGGCTTGCTCCTCCTGAGGAGCGCCAGATGGGACACAGCACCCAGATGTGGCCTCTCCAGTGCCAAATTAAGGGGAAGAACAGTTTCTCTTGCCCTGCTCCTGCAGCCTGCTGCAAGGTTGGCCTTCTTTGGTGCCAAGGCGCGGTGCTGAACCACGGTCAGCTTGTTCTGCACCGGGGTCCTTCTCTGCAGAGCTGTTCTCTAGACAAAAATACGTAACGTAAAGGCAGCCAAGTGGGGAAGGCGAGCAGGAAGCCATGTCTACCTGCGGACTGCACTCTGGAGAGGTGGCAGGAGAGGTGGGGCTGTGAAGGGTGTCACCAAACCACAGCAAGACAGCGCTTGGTGTTATTTCTAAAACAACTTCTAAAACAAGCTTCTGCAGGCTTGTGATCCCAGACATCCTCTGGTCGGAGGCTGTTAGCCCAACGGGGATGAGAGGGTCCGTGGTGGCTGCTGCTGTGGGCTCCTGGTGCTCTCCGAGGCCAGCGAGACCACTGGGATGTCAGCCCTGGATGGAGAAGCTGTTCAGCTCAACCCCAACGTGCTTCCCAAAGGGCTGCGGTGTCTAACTGCCCCCCTCCCTCCCCAGTTTGTGCCCCTGCAGACGCTGGTGAAGTTCATGGTCGATATCGCCCTGGGGATGGAGTACCTGAGCAGTCGGCAGTTTCTCCACAGGGATTTGGCAGCTCGAAACTGCATGTGAGTTTGTTTTCCCTCATCCTGGCTAGATGAACACCGGTGGAAGCCCTGTGGTTTTACAGCACAGCGGGGCTGCCTTCAATAAACCCCCTTCTGTCTCCAGACATGGGAGAAGAGCTCAGTCTCAGGTTTCTGCTTCAAAATTTGGCACGTCAGACTTTTCTCTCTTCTCATCCCTGTTTCTGCCGGGCAGGTTACGGGACGACATGACGGTGTGCGTGGCAGACTTTGGCTTGTCCAAGAAGATTTACAGCGGCGATTACTACCGCCAGGGCCGGATAGCGAAAATGCCTGTGAAGTGGATCGCCATCGAGTCCCTGGCCGACCGCGTCTACACCACTAAGAGCGACGTGGTAGGTCTGGGCAGCCGGGCGGCAGGAGGCGAGAGCTGGGCACCGATCCCTGGGTCGAGTCGTTCGCACTTTGTGACGGTTGATTTGTCCCCTGGAATTGCAGAGGAGCGGGAGGCTGTCGGTAAGGGGACGCACTGACCTTTTGCTGCCTGCCCAGCCTCCTGGAATAGGTCCGCGTCTACACCACTAAGAGCGACGTGGTAGGTCTGGGCAGCCGGGCGGCAGGAGGCGAGAGCTGGGCACCGATCCCTGGGTCGAGTCGTTCGCACTTTGTGACGGTTGATTTGTCCCCTGGAATTGCAGAGGAGCGGGAGGCTGTCGGTAAGGGGACGCACTGACCTTTTGCTGCCTGCCCAGCCTCCTGGAATAGGTTTATTGAGCCTGTTCTGTGGCATCGCTTATTATTTCCAGTTTTGGGGAGGGCAGGACCAGAGCCACAGCTCTCAGCATTGTTCGAGAGCCCGGCAGATGCTGGGCATTGACCTTTCCCCGTGAAAAGATGCATTCATTCCTCCTGGAAACGCTCCTTTCAGCCTGTTTTCCCTTTGTCCTGGCAGTGGGCGTTCGGCGTGACCATGTGGGAGATCGCCACGCGAGGGATGACGCCCTACCCAGGGGTGCAGAACCACGAGATCTATGAGTACCTCTTCCACGGGCAGCGCCTGAAAAAGCCCGACGACTGCCTGGATGAGCTGTGAGTGCTGGAAACCCCCTCCCCGCACTGCAGCCCCTTTGCTCTCTGCCTCCCTGCAGACAACCTGCGTAATTTTTTTTTTTTTTGCATCATCTCCTGAGTTTTGGTGTGCCTCAGAAAAGCCAGATCCCTGAGCAGCGTATCACCCGAGGAGGAAAAAACATCTTCTTAATTCCGGGCACACGGGGGCACAGAAATCCCAGCAGTTACCCGGGAGCAGGCGATGGGTTTACAGGGCTGGGGGACAGCAGCAGTGCCCTCTGCAGTCTGTGGCGGAGAAATAACGATTTTAGTGTTCTAGTTCTTTATTTATTTTTAAGATAGCATGTTTTCACCTGAAGGCCTCGGCTGGCGATGCTCTTCTCTGCCCCACAGAATTCCCTCTCGTTACTCTGGGCCCTTCAGTGCCTCAACCCCATGAATCTGGAAAGGGAAAATGTGGAAACCTCCAAACTTTGCATTTCTGAGCAGCTCAGCAAGGGTTTTTCTCCTGAGTTTTTCTCCAGTGCCATTACAGCTGAAAATGTTTAAGCACCCCCACTCACAGCAAAAAGCTGCAAATACCAAAACTGCAAAAACAAGAAAAGCTGCTGGGAGTCGCACAGCGCTTCCTACAAACCCCCCTTTCCAACTCCTGTCCAGGAAGGCAGCAAAGACTGAATTTTTCAAAAAACAGCAAAGAAACCTTTTATCAGCTCCATCCCGCTCGCGGGCAGGGGAGGCGGCCTGTGCCCCGCAGTGACAGCGGTGCCGCGAGTTTCCCTGCGCCCTGCATCCAGCCTGGGACCAGGAACCTGCGGGGAGGATGGGAGGACTCAGTGTCCCCGGAGCAGAGCTGGGATGTTCCTGGGGAGCAGATCCCAGCTGGGTGCCTCTGCCCGACCCCACAGCAGCGCCTTGGGCTGATCATTCCCTGCAAACAGCTTCGTTTTGATGTGAAGCAGCTCAGGGTGTGGAGAGCAGCCGGGAATTCTCCCCAGTACCCTACCTGGGAACGTCCTCCCCGCTAACCGCCCTCCTCTCCCCGTTTCCAGGTACGAAATCATGTCTGCGTGCTGGAGAGCCGACCCCGCCGCCCGCCCCACCTTCTCCCAGCTCAAAGTCCACCTGGAAAAGCTGCTGGAAAGCCTCCCCGCCATCGGGACATCCCGA